TACAACATACACTACCCCCATACACAACACATACACTATTGCACAATGTACAAAATAGTTAAATATTCTACGCTTTAACTGTACAACAATATCATACACAGCAGTGTTACAAGAATTCACCTGTTTGCCTTTCATAGATTTCTTACCGTTCGTTTAACACACACATACACACACACACACACACTTGATACAACATACACTACCCCCATACACAACACATACACTATTGCACAATGTACAAAATAGTTAAATATTCTACGCTTTAACTGTACAACAATATCATACACGTCAGTGTTACAAGAATTCACCTGTTTGCTTTTCATAGATTTCTTACCGTTGGTTTAACAAAATGTACACCGATATTTACAGATATAATATTCAGAATCACAATGTACATAAATATACAGTATAGCACTTTGCTCACAAACATTATGGCCTCCAGCACCTATTGGAAAAGAAAGAGATGCTTGTTGTACATTTCTTCAGTTGTAGTCAACTAAAATATGGCTCAACGTTTACACTAGAATGAGTTTGGTTTCAAGAGGTCTCAGAGCTGCAAATAAAGGGCAAAATAAAAGTGCAGTTGCTTCAAAAAGATAAAAATGTGCCATGTAATTCCAGATTGTCTTAGTGGATTAGTCTCAGTAGTTGATTCTGATCAATATCTGTGAACAAACAATTTCTATTTGAACAGAGAGCATTTGTGATTATGTATTAATGAATTCCCGCAGCATGTCATCACAGCAGCATGTACAACTGTAATCTATTACCACTATCTTTGACCATTATATAGAGAGAGGCATGCACTTATCATCTATGAGGAGTGTAAATGATATGAGTGATATGATTATTGCTTCCCAACCAAAAAAGTTAAGAGTAAGCATTTTAATGCTTTGCATACATGTACATAATGCATGTTCAGATCATGCTGTGTAAATCTGCTGTTGAATGTTGTGCTTGGCTTTGTGCTAATGCAGCCTTTTAAAGGTGCACTCAAGTCACATTTTTTCTCCCTAAAACGATTAGAAAAAATGAATTGTACTTCTGATAAAAGTGTACTTTTAAGCATGTTTGCTTTTGTTTATGTTTGTGCCTTGGTTGGTTATTTGTGCCCTGTTCATTCATTTATATTGTCTTTTCAAATACTGTTGATGTGTTCAGGGGTATTGTCATGGAAAAACATTGACATATGTAATATATCTGATATAAATAGGGAATGTTTCTGAGATATAAAGAGGAAGGTCAGAAGGTTCACTGACATTAGTCTGGGAGTGCAGATGGTTATGAAAGAGGAACGGATGTCAGCTAGACCCAATTAATTTTTTATTTTTGTAGTTTTGATTCTTAAGAATCATAAATAAGCGTAACCTTGGTATTTAAAAAATAATATGGATCTTTATTGAATTATTATGTGAATGATGCACACAATCATAAATACCTCATTTAATTTAATCCTAGTATTATCTAACAATAAGTATATTTATAAATGTACATGAATAAATAAGTACAGTTGTTAGTAGTTTGTTCAGGTTAGTTTAGTGTATTAACTATTGTTAACAGATTTGTTTATAATTAATCTTGATAAACTTTTAAGTAAATGTTGAATTTGAAATGCTAACAATGTATGGAAAGTGTTATTACAAATAATGTGGGTGGGAGAATGGATCATTTATCTGAACTTTAGCTTCTTAGCTTTGACTTTGGTTGAAGTTAACTTAATATTGCAATTTTGTTTAATGCATATTTTCGCAAAAAGATATAATTGGCCTGTTGTACTGTTGTGGACCTTCTAGGGCTCATGGACCCCCTGTTGAAGATCCCTGATGTACAATGTAATATTCAAGCTGCCCACAGAGGAGATTTTTATTGGACAGCTCTTTTCTATGTCGGTTTTGTTAGTAACTTGGTGCTGTTAAAACTTGGAACAATTTTTGGGATTTCAGTCAGAATATGCGCTGTTGCGGCAACTCAGTGGATTTTTAAAATATTATTGTTTTAGTGTGAGGGGGTCACAAGTTCAAATTTCGCTTGACTGGCAACACACCAATTGAAGATGCATCTGTTTGTCAGTGTAGTGTAAACAATCCTACTGTTGTTTTGTGCTTGTGAGATGCAGCTCTGGGGCCTCTTGTCTAGAGAAGGTAAAGTGCACAAACCCAAAACTGCCACAAGCAAACAACAACAAAACAAACAATATATGTTTCACACTAACCATTAGAGTATAATGAGAGGCACCAGCTGTGATCAGCGGCGGGGCTGGAGGATGAGGCCGGGCACAGAGACACACCTTCATCACACTAATCAACGGCAAACAGCGACACCTTGTGGACAATATTGTGCTATTGCAGGAGCAACATTAACGTTTTTGTACTTTACCACACACTGGACAACTACACACTACAACAAACAAATTGTGCAAGTACAATTTTAAAATCTGTCCTGATTTATGAATCAATGTGCTCTTTCGAAATATCATCTCATCTTATTAAGGGCAGAATCAATGCATCAGACCAGTTTAGCAGGTCTTGTCTAGAGGGCTTCATGTATTTCTTACCGCCTGAGTTTCTTTCAGTAAATAGCGGCACAATCCATCTTAGTGCAGGCAAAGCCCATCCAAAAATGAAAAGTCATTAATCATCATTGACTCACTCATTTTGTTTCAAACCCATGTGACTGTTTCGAATGTGAAACACAAAAGATGTTTCAAAGAATGTATGGAAAAATCTAAATGAACAATGAAAGTGAATGGGGATTGGAGCTGTCAAACTCCAAAACAACACATTTGAATGACGCACTACAATGGAGGCAAAAATTGTCAGTGAATAATTACTTAAATGTCTTTCACGAAGCTATAATATGGCTAGAGAAGATATATGGACTATTTTTATGTTTCTTGTCTTTTTTTAAAGCTTGACAGTCCCAGTCCCTGTTCACTTTCATTGGTTCGAAAAAAGTGACCAATATATTATTACATAAATTCATATTTTATGCTCCTTGGAAGCAAGGGAGTCACATGGGTTTGGAGCAACATGAGGCGATTGAGTAAATGATGACAGAGTGAAAGAACCGTTTTTAGGTGAGCTGTCCCTTTAAATGATTTTCCCGTTGTTGTTGTGAAATGCAGTGGTTGCTAGGGCTACAACAAGGGCCTTACAGGAACATCTTGAAACCCCTCCTCAACACACAAACACACACACACACACCCAAGGAGGACTCATTAACATGCAGCCGCGCTGTTTCTGACACTACTTCCCCTGGGTAACCAGCCTAGTCCGTGTCTATTTTTACCTCAGCAGCCTTTATGACAGACTCGAAAGCTACAAGCAGCTGGATGATCAAAAGCTTTGCCGTTGTACTCATCAGGGTTTCAATAAGACCCATAACTCCTGTCCCACTCGCCTTCACACTTTCCCCTCAGCTCTCCAGCCCTCTTCAGCTTCCTGAATCTATTCTTACTGGAATAAATACTGAAAATGAACCCCATTCATTAGAACCAGTGTATCTGTTATGAACACATAAACCAAACTAAAACAGAGAGTATGTTTAGGCTTACAGATTATTAGGCAGTGAGCTTTTAAGGGCAGCAGTTCTCAATCACATCAGGCAGTCTTCACAGTATTCACAGTATTCACTCCACACTACATATAAAGGGACTACACATTACTTTACTACATTACTATACTTTGGTTCGTCAAGAAAACGGGTCCTCTTCTTCCAGCTCAATATGTGTTACCTTATAAAGACACTCAACTGCTTTTCCACATCAGGTTGATTTACAGCAATCTTTTTAAAACATATTTCAAACATTATATATATATATATATATATATATATATATATATTTCATGGCCCGTTTTTTGTGTAATATATTTTTTAGAGAGAAAAATTTCTTTTTTTATATCTTTGAAAGTCTCCAATGCTTACCAATGCTGCATTACAGTAATACTGTAAAATATTATATTTTACAATCTATTTTAATGTATTTACTGTCACTTTAGATCTATTATATTTAATGCATACTTGCTAAATAAAATAATTCACTTCTTAAAAAATATTACTAACCACAAACTTTTGATTGATAGTGTGTGTTGTTTATATATAACTATTTATTAATTAAATAATAATCTTTGCAGTGTTTGTAATTAAGAGGTCATTTGTGTGGCATTTTGAAAGTTGCTGAAATGTTTCTCCCTCCTCCAAAAAAGTCTTAAAATATCAGATCCACACAAATGACCTCCTAATATATTTTACACCAATTTCAGAGATCAGCTGTATTACAGAAAATCCAAACACTTCAATCTGTTTCGTGACCCTGACAAGAATGTGTCTGTAATATGGCCCCAGAACAGCAAGTTTGAAAACAGGCAGTGTTGAACAAGGGCCAAATGCTTCTCTGTGCACTACAGTAAATAATCTGACATTGGCATTTGTAAAGCATAAGCAAACACCACTTGACCATTTACATGTTTTGTGGCTTGAAATTTAAAAGTATCATTCCCTATTTGGAGCTTACCGTCTTCAACATAAATTTCACTTTAAATAATTATATAGGCTTAAAATAGTTATGAAATGGAAATGAAATAATATTTGTTCCCATGTAATTCATGTGTAATTTATTAAATTCTAGTTATTGTGCTTGGTGGAGTTTACTTGGCACAAACAGCACCCCTTATTGCATCCTGAAAATGTCGTTTCTTGTGCTGTGTGGAAATCACATTTGTTTTGATTATAAAAAATAAAAACATCTAGGTAAAACTTTCCAAAAATGAAACTTAAATCCAGTTGCAGCCTGAACCTGACACTTATACTGTATATATTTGATACTGCACTGAGACTACATACATATGTGCGTTGTGTATGAATACATATGTCGCCCTCTTGTGCTGAGATATGGACATGACAGACTGTTGATGTGCAAAGTAACAGAAATCAAGCTATCAATTCACTCTACTCTCAGGCGGTCTGTATCAGTGACACTTACATAATATCCACTAGAGCTCTAAAGATGAGTTTAAATGAAATTTCTTGCATGGCATCTCGTATCTTGCGCATTTTGTAAGATGTCTAGATTTCAGCAGCATTGGTAACACCTTAATCTGAGCGACAACTATCACCTCAGCTCTCACCATCCCTATGACTCCGAACCAGTCACAGAGACCAAACCTGAAGCTTGAATGTTTGAACCTTCTTAGAGTTGACATATTTACATGTATGCAAAAAATAACTTACCAACTCACCAAATAAGCCACCTTACATTTTGATCTGAAAGCTTCAGGCTCTCTTTCACCTTCAGACCAACATCTGTAGTCCGTATGAATAATTGGGCCCAGGGGAACCTGTCTAGGAAGGATCTCTGTGTCTTTCTGTCTGTTTTCTTGTCATCCTGCTCCTTTGGATGGCTTGGGTTAAGGTGTGACCAACACTAGGACCTTCTCATCTGTTCAGCATCTTCTTTCTCTTTCCGTCTCAGTCTCTGGTCGGTGGGTTGGAGGATCATGACTCAGATTTGGGAGGGGCGGGGTTGGTCTGGTAACCGCTGCCATAGCCGCTGATGGAGGTAGAGTTGGTGATGAGCTCCACAGGAGAGGTGCTGCCGGGGCCCAGATAGGCCCTGTGGCTGGGCATGGGAGAAGGGGCTTCGCTGGGGTTCTTCCCGAGGATGAACCTCGTCTCATCTTCCAGGGTGGAAGCCTCCTTTGTCAGGCTCTTGCGGTAAGAGACGGACAGCTTGTTGGAGCCGTCTGGGATCCAGTTGAAGTGACGTGCAATAAAGACCAATGGAAGAGGAAGCATGGCCACAATGATCAGAGCAAAACACATGGCTAGTGCCCAAGGAGGATAACTCTGAAACCTCTCCATGGCCTGATTATAGAGAAGGAGATAGAATTCACAAAGTGAAATATTACAGTCCTTGAATAATATTTTCTTATTTAAATGTCAGCAAAATCTCAAGTCAAAAATGTATGTCTAACTTCTTCCTTAAAATACATGCTCTACCATTCAAAAGTTTGAGGTCAGTAAGATTTAAAAAAAAGAAATGAATACTTTTATTTGAAGATGCATTCAATTGATCATAAGTGACAGTAACAACATTTATAATATAATATATAATATTACAAAAGATTTCTATTTTAAATAAATGATGTTCTTTTGAACTTTCAAGAAATCCTGTAAAAAATGTATCAGTTTCTACAAAAATATAAAGCAGCACAACTGTTCTCAACATCGATAATTATATATATATAAAAAAAAAATTCTTTAGCACCAAATCGGCATATTAGAATGATTTCTGAAGGATAATGTGACACTGAAGACTGGAATAATGCTTCAGAATTGTCAGGAATAAATGACATTTGTCAGAAAAATGTTATTTTAAATTGTAATAGTATCTCACAATATTACTGTATCTTGATCAAATAAATGTAGCCTTGGTGAGTGCAAGAAACTTCTTTCAAAACCATTTAAAAATCTTACCAACCAAACCTTTGAAAAGTAGTGTATCAATTCGGACATTGCCTAGATGTAATTGCATATATAGATAATAAAGGGGGGGAATTGACCCACATATGTAAACTAGGGGTTTTAATATAAACTACCCCAAAAATAAAAAAACATGTAAAACTATATAAAATTTAGTCAAATAACACGAACATGATACTTAATAAAATAGCCAACTAAATATAAATAATAATATCAAACAATGGACATCCATATGTATTTCATGGCTGAGCAGAGTGTACTTTGGGAACAGGAATAGGATGGGAGAGAGAAAAGGACTAGACAGACTAGTGTGTAACTAACCAGGTCTTGCACCCATGCATTGTATCCCGGAGGGCTGATGGCCATCTCTACCACACTGGCAGAAATCAGTATGAGCAGACACACTGGAGACACATACTTCCACAGGTAGAAGTAAACAGTGTGCGGTCTGAAACCCAGCATGTCTTCCAGATCCTGCATGAACCTGATGAACGCCGCAAAGCATGCAGAATTACAGCGCTGATCAATATCAGAAAAATATACTGAACTGCACGGAGACTATATTTGGTGTTAGCAAGAACAGACAAGGAGGAGATCTGATTTCAGAGATACAGTCCTATTTTAAGTAGCTCTCGAAGCAAAATGCTAGAGAACTTCACAAGCATAGTAAGTGAATTTGCCCACCTCTTGGTGCCATAGATCCAGGCTACAGATACATTCTCCAGGATCACCACAAGGGTGAGGGGCAGACCAGCAGAATAGTCATCAAACATGGCAACAAAGTAGTTCCCTGAACGCTGGACAAACAGCAAGCCGCACAAAAAAGCCACAATACAGCAGCCCACTGCAGGAAATAAAAGATTATACAGGTTACTCAGTGCCACCTTAAAGTGGCCCAGCATCACCACAATTATAATATACATTGGAAAAATAAGAAGAAACCAGGAGCTCTCACCTGTGAGGACCTCTTTCCGAATTTTGAAAGTATCCAGAATGGGTGTGGTGATGCCAGTCATGGTGCCAATCATGCTGCCCAGGCCCAGGTTTATCAACATGAAGAAAAACATGACAGACCAGAAGGGAGAAGCGGGGAAATGGGTCATGGCCTCAGTGAAGGCAATAAAAGCCAGACCGGTGCCTTGAACAGCCTGATGAGAGAAAAAAAAGCAGTGTTATTATCGTTTAAAAAATAAAAAATAAATCAAATCAAATGAAATTAAAACATTTTCCTTACATGAAATACAAATACAAAACATAATGTATAAAAAACTAATTAAACTAAAATGAATAAAACTACGAAAAAAACATTTTAAAATCTAATTTTAGTTTTAGTTTTTGACAGAATATATTGCAAAGATTTTAAATTGTATGCCTACATATTGAATACTTTCAGAAATGAAAATACCACAAGATAGGCTACCACCACACAGCCCTGAAAAATGTAACCGCAGTACCATTTAACACACTAAACACAAAAATATTACAGCTAAAAATAATAAAGTGAAATGATGAAAAAAGATGAAAAAGAAAACTAAACTGAAAGGACAAACTGAAAATAAACTAGAAATGAAAAAGCTATACTAAAAGGTCAGTGTACTCTTGCTTCCATTCCTTTTTCCTTTTTAATTTAAATTAGAACTGTACACAATACCCCCCCAAAATAGACTGATTAATGAATGTCACGTTTTCTTTTACCAAAACTTAGCTGAAACTGGGTACATGAACCCTAAAGCTGTAATAAAATACAAATTAAGTGTGCAAAATTGCCCTAAAGTTCATAAATAGCTTACAATTCATTCCATAGTATTATGATTAAGTAAAATAAATGATTACAATATACATTTTTGTCTATTGAGCTTGGCAAATAAATAAATAAATCCTAAGTCTAAATGTAAGTTTTATCCATGCTAAATGGCTTCGCTGAAACCTGTGAATGAAAGCAGACAGCTCATTGGCTGAACACCTGCCTTATTGAGCTCATCCTCCAGCAGACACGGCTCCAGCCCCAGCTGCGCAAAACTGTCCTCTTTCACAATCTTTATTACGCTGTACATCTCGGCATAGTCTGACGAGGTGAGGTGGGAGAAGTTCACGTGAGGGGGGATGAGATCCTGACTCAGCACATTTGAGTTCAAGTAGCCCAGAATCTTCTCAGCATTCCTAAAAGAGAACAACACAGACATGAGGCTGCTGCATGACCTCAAAATCCAGCTTCCCCATTTAGATTTAAAGAATTAAGCACAGATATTATTTTACAATGGAAAGTGTAACTTAATCCAATCACAAAAATGATCCCTTTATGAGAGAAATACACAGACATATTAGGAGGTCATACGTACTCCACCACACATTTCTCATTCATGACGTTGGCTTTGAAACCCAGCACAGCAAACACCACGAGTGTGGCCAGTATAGAGGTCACGAAGTTGATAACGGAGACCAGCACGGCATCAAAATGGCAGTTGTTGTCTCTCTTATTGTAGCTGGAAAAAGCGATAACTCCACCGAAACCCAGACCAAGAGCAAAGAAGACTTGAGTGGCAGCTTCACGCCACACCTGCGGCTCCAACATGATCTCCAGCTAAAATGAAATACATTTAAAAAAATTACATTTACAGTATTTGATTTAAAATTTTAAATGAACAGTGCCAACATAGCTGAAGGCCTTCAGTTGTTTATAATGTTTGGTTAAGGTAATAGAAGCATCCTTTTTAATGTGAATTTGATTAAGTATCCCACTTACACCACAAGAGGAAGTCCAACCACCTGACAGGGCGCAATTTTTAGCTGCAGAAATTTACTTTTTACATTGCTGACTCTTCTATCTTTAAGTCTCAAAAAAAAACTTAATCCGGATTTCCAAAATATCACGTGTGTTTAAAATCAGCGCACGTGTACACGCTCCTTACCTTTGGTGTGAACATGTGAGCAATGCCGTCAACTGCTCCTTTAAGAAACAGCCCTCTCACCAGGAAGCAAAAGAGCACCACGTATGGAAATAGAGAACTGAAATACATCACCTGCAAAAACATGGTGAAACAACTGTAAATGTGTTTTTGTTCAAGTGTTTTACAATAATTTTTAAGATGACTGATATTTCTTTGAAAACAACAACTGTGCATTAATGATTTTGCTATTATTTATTGCAACATGACCTAAATTTGGCACATTATAAATACTTTTTTGTTCATAACTATAAATCTTGAGTTGAAAATGTGCTTTCTTTTCTCTTTTTTTTGGTTGGTTTCAACCCTGATGTTACATCTTTGTTGCCAATAATAAACAAATATCAAATTATTATTGATTAACTAATTAACTAAAAAATTAATTGTAAACCTAAGAACTGGCCTTGCAGAGGGTTTTTTCTAGTTACATGATCTGAACAGTTGGTGAAGCTCTGGCTTGATGAGATTAACCGAAATTTTGATTTATAGAGAGCTATTTGTGTCCTTGTTGTTTAGACACTGCGATGCTGGTAAACAGGTATTTCTCTGTAAAATGTGTGTTTGTTAAAACTGCACCATCACACCTTAAATTCGCATCAATGAGAAAACAAACGTTCGGCTCTTAGAAAATAATCATAATTGCACATCGTGATGGTGTAATTGTTCAGAAGAGCTTGATAATGTGGCATCTGCAGATTGTGCCTTCAAGCTATCCAAAAATTGATGTGTTTCTCAACTAAGCTGATTCTCATTTCATTATCTCACCTTCCCAGAAGACTGAATGCCCTTTATTACAGCCAGGCAGACAATTATCCAGGCACCCAGCAGCGACAGAGTCATCCTCCAGTTCAGACCCCCGCTGTCTGCGATTGTGCTGGTGATGTTCAGGGTCTCGCGGTACCAGAAGTATGTGGTTGCTGAGCTCTTCTCACACTCAGGCTCCACAACTAACCAGACGGAGGGACAAAATTAAGCCCATGTCTATTAATATACCACTGACTATTTGATGACTTTGTGGAAAAGATCAGATTGTATTAGATTCATTAGACTCCCATTTTAAATCGATTTGATTCCAGTTAATTTCAGTTCTGATTTTGCTTACATACTGTATGAAAGAAATTCTCTTTCTTCTAATGCTGTCTAGTATACAGGGCAGCACTCATCTCTTTTAACTGTACGTTAAAAAAACCAACTCGTAAAAGTGATTTGTAAAGGGAAACTTGCTGTACTGGTTGAGAATCGGGATTGTTCAAATAAAAATAGTCATTAATTTGAATTTGAATACTGATATTTTTCCAAAGGCCGAATCCAAACCTGGTGGGAAAACCAGCATCCAAAACACAACACACATGCTGGTGACCTGCCAATATTTTCAGCAGAGAACAGAGACACTGCCAGTGCTATGGAAATCTCCAAATACTGCTTCTAAAAGCAAAGTAGAGTATCCTGGAAAGGTATAAGTAAAACTGTATCCAAGAAACATTGTGCACTAAAAGATTTAATGGTTTTAATTAATACAATTTAGCCTATATAGCAATTCTTTGAAGTTTGTACTACATAAATACCACAAATAGAGTTTGAATTTATGCTAGAATATAATAGTTTTGGGTTTTATTTGAATTTTTCTAGTGTGCTGTGCCCACTTAAGCTGCATGTCTACATGTATCTAGTCTTAGTGAGGTTGAGAGTGAGACTGACTGCAGGTCTAGTTCTTTCTCCACTTATTGACCAGGGGACACTGCTGCAAGGCATGCTGGGAAGTCTAAAACACACAAAATGACCTTGAGTATGAGGCTCATGAAGAGCAGTTTAGGAAATGCGACAAGGTGCATGATGTGTATAGGGTGGAATATACTTTAAAGGGGACATATGATGTGATTAAAATTTTTACTTTCTCTTTGGAGTGTTACAAGCTCTTTTAGTCTCATCGCTCCATCACAGTATGGTAAGGGGTGTAACATTTCCGTCACACGCTTGAGGTATTCGGCCAATCACAGCACACCTCGCTTTTCAGACCGATGAGCTTTGTAAAAATCGACGCGTTTCAGAAAGGCGGGGCATAGAGGAGAAACAATAATGTACAGTATGTGGAAAACAATATGTTTTTTTAACCTTAAACCGCATAAACACATTTCATTACACCAAATACACAAAATAATGTTCTTTTTAACAACATCATATGACCCCTTTAAAGGAATAGTTCAAGACAAAAATGAAAATTCTGTCATAATTTTCTCAACCTCATGTCATTCTAAACCTGTATGAGTTTCTTTCTTATGTTGAACACAAAAGAAGATATTTTGAAAAATGTTGAAGAACCAAACCATTATTGGTCCCAATTGACTTCAATAGTATGGAAAGAAATGGGGACCATCAACTGTTTGATTACCAGCATTTTTCAAATATCTTCTTTAATGTTTAACATAAGAAAGAAACTCATACAGGTTTGGAATGACATGAAGGTGAGTAAATGATGACAGAATTTTCATTTTTGGGTGAACTATCCACTTAAGAAAGACTGCAGTGCTATACAAGCCACAAATAGTGATGCATTACAGATTGCAACTTTATTAAGGTCGTCTGTTGTTGGGCATGAAAACAAAACTCTTTCATGATGTTTGCTCACAAATAATGGATGATACTACATATTTCTACAGCTTTGACTGTGATGGAAGCAAGAAGCTTCTTGCTGTGCCACATTTTATTTCATTAGGCAAAGTGTTGTACCAAATAAAACAACACAACTCTAATCTTTCTAGTCATTATGTGAGAAACTGCAGAGCACTCACTGGCTTGGCTGCCGTTCCTCCTGATGGGACAGTCGCTCCAGGGCAGAGGATACTGAAACGACTGAAAAAAGTAGAAGATGCTCCAGCCGATAATCACATTATAGTACAGACCCACAAAACCACACACCTGTAGAATGAGAGAAAGAAAAAAACAAAGGATATTGTTAACAACTATAAAATAATTAAGGGGTAATATTGACCAAAAATTGTCCCCTGGAAAGGTCTCATCTAGTCTAAGGCTTATTTTGCCTGACTTTAAACCATTTACTTGAACATCTGAGCCATACTGTGCACTGCAAATAGCAATCTAGGTGGCAAAATCCAATCTAACTGTCTGGCACCTTCTGGGAATCTTCTGGGAATGTTTTCTTGTGTTTCTTGTATGGCTTTGAAATAAATACTTATATTGGACAAACAGAAATAATGACCGCAACATGCCTACATGCCAGTTTAGTTTGGTATTGTTGCATCATCTATTTCAGATTTATCCAACCCTACATGCTATGTTGAAAAACAAGTTGTGGTTAGTCATTTTACAGTACATGTCAGTCAGAGTAGCTCTTCCTGGCAGTTGTATAGCACTGATGTGCACCAGACTGTGCTGACAGTCAAAAGTCTGGCTTCTGGAGTCTGATATATAATCGCAAGTCTTTTAACTCCTAAAACTCAATAGCCTTACTTCATTTATAGTGTCCATAAACAGAATTCGAACACAAGTGAATGTGTTCTGTGTGCTGAAATACCGTGTATGTTCAGGGTTTAGCAACGCGTGCCTGTTAACAGCAAATCTATCCCTTGATTTTTCCCTGCAGTCTGTAACAGGGCAGTAATGGTTCTTTGTGACGTCACAGATCCACAGCACGTTGAGTTAGTGAATAATTGAAGCATATTCTTTCTGCAGTAGCTTTGTGGGTATTAATAGCAGCGGCTGCAGCAGAACAGCCACATTTAGTCCATGAGTGTTTCTCCACAGTCATTTGAACTGTGGGGCTGTTTTATTTAAAGGCCTATGGTTTCAAAATGGCTTTCCTTGCATGTTTTTTCATTGCCTTTGTGTAGAAGGTTAACACAATCAAAGGTTAACAGGTCGATTCCCAATCTGAAGTCAATTGAATCCACTAGACTCATTCAGACTACTACATATCAAATACTAAATACAACTATTACTACAATACAAATTAGTACAATTTGTAATACTATTAATACAAATGTTAATTTTCAATTAAATGAATCTTGATTAACAGAACATTTAATATTCTAATAAGTAATTGTATATAATTAAATAGGAATTAAAAATACAATTAAACAATTATTTTATTTCATGGACATAATATAAACAATATTTTTAAATAATATAATCGAATTATTTAAATGACTATGCTGATAATGTACTTTGTAATAAGAGAATGCAAAACTGGTCTCAGACTTTTGAACACCACTGTATTTTATATATGCTGCATATGTATATATAATATGTATTCAGCTCATCCTGTTACTAATGAGAAAGCCATTCCCAAGAAACTGCTGATTAAACAGCATCTACACAATAACCAGATTTCCACCCCAGTGCTTTGGCTTATGGTATATAACCAACACCTCCCAAAAGGCCTTACATACTTGCTGACTTGCTAAAGTATCTCCAAGGCACAGCTGCTTATACAAGGAGAGGAAACCAGAAAGTCCAGGTGCAGCTGGGGCTGAAAATAAATGTATTAAATGTTCAGACAGAGTGATATTTTCAGATCGAAACCCATCTGTTAGGTTGTGTGACTGTGCTCATATTAAACTGATCAGAGCACAGAGTAGTAATGGATGAGTCTGCACAGAATGGCTGGTAAATTAGCACTTTTAGGCTAGTGACTTATCAAAAACAAATGCTTCTGCAAGAGCCTTCAGAACACTGAAATTGGTTATTTGTCTGGAACTTACAGGCTTCTCATTGTATTGTGACCCTTTTTCAACAAAACATTAGCAAACGAACTAGAATCTCAAACTGTATCAATCACCCAATCTGAGCTGACATGAACCAGACACTCACAAGTCAATGTCATTAAAACCAATTTAAATGCAACCATATTCACACACAACTGATTTCCTCATTTACTCATAAACCAAATGAAGCAACATGATCTCAGTCAAGAAAAGAACATACATTTGAGTGACTGCTCATTTGTGTCTTGTGCTTCAGTCCACTACTTTCACCAGAACATCATTCACTCACCATCAGGCTGGACACTCCAATGCCACCGAGTCGTGGACAAACATAATTCCACACTCCTATGCTCCCTCGACGGATCCTCTGGCCAACCGCCAGCTCCAAGAAGAAGAGTGGGATGCCAATAAGGATAAGAAGGATGAAGTATGGAACAAGGTAGGCACCTGTAAAGAGAGACAGCGACACTTGTAAACACAGAGGGTAATGTCCTTACAACAGTGTCTTTAATGACCAACCAATAGCCCAAGATCAATCAAGCTACTGCACACTAAACGCACTTTATTCTTTCAGAATGTTTTTCTTTCAAAATGCCATTTTGCTTATTCATACATATACAAAGAGTAAAGTGTATTCAAATATGTTTCTTGCTAATTAAACAGTAAACTAGAGTCTGCTGGAATTAAAATGAGTGATCGTATCTAAACTTTTGTGTTGAAAATCAAAATACTTTATATAACTGTCTGGGACACATTTTTCCTCATATTTTCATATTTCATATTTACATTAATTTAACTAAGGTAAAATATATAAACATGTTTTTAGCAACACTATAGTCTCTAAAATGAATGCATATAAAGGTCACTTGTTTATATTTTGTTATGTTTTGATTTAATTTAGGCCATAGATTGACCATTATATTGTAAGACATTAAAGGGATAGTTCACCCAAAATTAAAATTCTGTCAGAACACAAATTAAGATATTTTTGATGAAATCCGAGAGCTTTCTGACCAGCAACACAACTGACACGTTCAAGACTCAGAAAGGTAGTAAGGACATCGTTAAAATAGTCCATGTGACATCAGTGGTTCAACCATAATGCTACGAAGCTATGAGAATACTTTTTGTGCACAAAGAAAACAAAAATAATGGCTTTATTCAACGATTTATTCTCTTCCAGGTCAGTCTCCGCCAGGGCCGTGCACAGACATTTTTAGCAGCATCATATGACCCCTTTAATACAAATGATCCAGTTGTTACAAATATACAATTAAAAAGAAGACAGCACACTCTTTAATCATTTCTGACTTTATTGTAGATGTTTTGATAAGAGTGGGCTCTCCCTCACTCTCTGAGCCTGCTTTTGCCTCCTCTTCAATGGAAGTAGGGGAGAGTGGGGTAAGTTGAGCCAGTGGGTAAGTTTACCCACCCCCTGTATCTTGGCAACTGTACACTTTTACTGTCATGTGACCATGTATTTTGGAACCACCCATCATTTATGTCAGACTGTGAAAAGGAGAAACACATGAGAGGAGTGGAAGGCACCCATTTATTTTAAAACAGTTTTTGGCTTGACAAAGTAAAATTTTAGCATAACAGATGTAATGGTTGTTACATCAAAGCAAATTTATCCAGGTCTAAAAATATGTATGATACATATAAGTGATTTAGCAACATATAAAACCATGCAAATCATTTAAATGGCAGCTATGGGGCAAAGTGAGCCAAATGTTGTGGGGTAAATTGAGTCAGCATTTTAACTTACCTCACCATGAGGCACTGTAGTTAAATCTCTGAGTTATAAACTGGTGTTTTAATGTGATATTACTGGTTTAGTTTATCATATATACATATTATTTGTAGTTTATTTGATAGGGACAGTGTACAAGTGCACCAAATCCTTCTCTGATAAGAACCAGAAAATGCTTTTCATCACATTATAATCTGATATATCTTTGTAGTCACTATTGGCCAACAAACTCTCTGTTTAGTTTGTTTTTAGGAAGGCTACAACTTTGGTGTTCAACATATTGTTTCAGAAATGCAAACAATTAAATACTGACATTTAAACCTCATTTGGTTGGTTTTATGTTTTTAAAGTTAACTTTACTTTGTCATAGATACATTCTGATCATTTAAAATGATAGGAATACTTTCATTAGGATAGGATAGATACTTTCTTTGTATTTCTGCGTCATTTCCCCTTGAGGACCATAAGTACAAAATGGCTAATCTTAGCCCACTCTCCCCTATAAGTATTAGACATTTATTTTAATATTTTACAGCATTAATCTATATTATATACAAATAAACAACTAATTTAGAACATTTATATTATTTTTAAACTATTTATAGGGCTACTATTAACATGATTTTAATAAAATATGATGTGTTATAGATTACTAGTATCAAGACAAGTGATGATAATGGGAAATATACTTAATTACAAGAATTAAAGTGTGACAAACTGTTAAATATTCTACAGTATATGATGATTTACTTGCTGGCTTGCTGGAGCTTTGAATTCATGTTTGCAATGTTGAACTGCCTTTTTTTTTTTTTGTCTACAAAGTGTGCCAACAACTGCGAATTTTGTGTTATGTTAGATCTGATCGGGTATAATAATTTGATCAGACATTCTAATTATAAGAACGTGGATATTTTGTTGTAATCACTTTTATTCACTTTACCGACAGAAATACAAAATCAAACTTCCAAAAAACAAATCATCCACTGACTGTAATGTGGATTGTAATGCATCTACCTGTTAATGAACGACCTTCGGGAACTCTCCAGATAGCGGCACACCGATTGTGAGCGGCGGGAAAACATGGTAGCGGATTAGCGGAATCAGCGGATCTTTAGCGGAGTGGTAACCGAATGCTTTGAGCTGGGGTGAGGGTGGGGGATTGGTGAGAGGGGCACCTCAGCCGATGAGGGCAAAGGGGCAGTGGCTCTAGCCACCAGGCCACCGCCCTGTGCACGGCCCTGGTCTCACGAGAGTACCACAATGCATACGTGTGTGGTGCTGCTGAATTTTGTGTTTTGTGTTCCAAAGATGAAAGAAAATTTTACGGGTTTGGATCGACATGAGGGTGAGTAGGCTAAATGATGACAAAATTTTCATTTGTGTGTTGAACTATTCCTTTAAATCATATGGTCAGACAGTTATCAAAAGAGCTTGACAACTGAGTCAAAATACAATATTTACAGATATAGAAATCAACATAAGCATTAATTCATAAACTTCAGTTTTTAAGACCATAATTAATAGTTTCAAGATATTTTCTTAGAATAATAGAGATATTACAAAGATGTCAAGTACTGTGATTGTTCGTCATCCACAGGGAAAAAAGAAAATAAATTGAACAGAACATTAATTCAGGTCAAAATATTGCAAAAGTAGTGCAGTTGACTGGACAGACTTAACAAGATTTCCATAACTGCAATATATTTAGATCACTGGTTATACTTCTTTTTTTATTAAATTTTGAGAAAAACATGATTTCACTAATCTAATGATTAGTAATAAATTTGACATTTTCCTTTAGAGAAATATGTATTTAAACTAAACATATGACCTGTCACACCATATTTTGAAATATTTAACTTATATGACACAATTTGTGTTCAAATAAAATCAAATACAGTATACTTTCAAGCAGAACAAGAGCAAGTGCAAAGCTTTATTATTTTAACACCTTTCTTATGTTTTGTCTTCCCTACATTTTCTTGCTAAATTTCTACCACCCAGATGAAGCAGATGGTATCTGCTATAGGCTAATGACAGTATGAGCCTCAATAGGCATGTTTGAACAGACAGACAACAGAATAAAACAGCAAGTCACGCTTCCGAGCCCTGACGTCAAACTAGATCCATAGTGACGAAGAGTTTGGCCTCTATTTGAAGTCAAAGAACAATCCGAAAATAACTGCTTCTGTAGACGTGGCGCTCACAGTGTTGGCGGATGACCACAAACCCATCCTCTTGGGAGGCTCTAAGTGTAATTAGAGCCAGGGATGATCACAGCACAGCCCTCCCTCTGCCTTTATTTATGACGATGGACTGCTTGCTATCAGTTTGATAACAGCATTTCCTTTATGTTCAATGTTGCTTTGTTGAGGCTTTTTGTCTGGGCTTTATTTATGCATACGACTAATGAAAAGGAAACAGCAGGTCTTACGTAGGAAACAGGAGACGGGAGGAAAGAGAAAGGGATGGACGCCGACGGACAGATGGAACGGAGAAGATGGAGAGAGCAAGGGTGCGTAACGGAAACAAGGCCTTCTGGGAAATTTTCATAATGGCTAGACAAGCAAGTACAAGATATGACGATCTAATTAAGGTGTCAGGTTTCACTTTCAGATAACATTATTGTGTCAAACTATCTATGCATCTATTTTTGTCCATTACAATTTGTCATTGATACTATTTTCATTTTTGATACTATTTTCATTTTTTTCAGATCATTCGCAAACAGTTAAGCATAGCAAAAAAAACAAAAAAACATTTTCTTTATATATTTTGCTTTGTTTTCCAATAACTACTGTATTTCTAAATATACATGTACTCATTAATCTTATCAAAATAGATTATGAAAAATTTGAAGACATTTGGCCATTTTTTAACAAAATATAGTGTTTTTTTGCTTCATTAATTCATTAAGTCATTGATTTCTGTTACCTAAAATCATTTTACACCATATTTCTGACTAAAGACTGTGAAATAGCATGATAGTACATTTCGCATTAGAGGAGAATATAAACAATGAATAATATTCCATGCAGCCAAGGAGCAATGACAGCAAGAAAATTATGATGACATGAAAATGTACGAATGAGGAACGTAAAGGCCTTGACATTACTGTTTTTAAACAGCCCATATAACATTGCCTGCCCTAAATAACGCACACTGGTACTGTCAGCTTAATAAATTTAGAGGGACCACAGCACACAAGGCATTCAGCTGACCCAAAAAAGCCTGTCTCAGTGGAAATTTTACAGAGCTTAAGATAATAATAAAGAAGAGTGAAAACGTTAAAGGGATAGGTCACACAAAAATGTAAATGAAAAATAAAATTTACTCACGCTCATGCCATTCCAAACAAGCAAGTCTTTGTCTACATGGAACACTCCACGACATTCTAATTTATTGAGATGCACCTGTATATATATACATATATATATATATAAAAAAAAAACTTTTCTATGTAATGAAAGCAAATAAGGACTGGGCCTATCAAGCTCCAAAAAAGAATAAAAGAGCTCCAAGAGACCTAAGCACTATATCACAAGTCTCTTAAAAAACAGACCTGAATTTAGGTCATTCACTGTAAATAGACATCTCTCCTAGCTCCTGATCATGAGAGAAGTAGTAGCAATGTCTAATTTGTGAATAATTAATTTCTTTGTGTCAGATTTGTTTAATGAATCAGTTGATCCCACTCACAAAACTGGCCTGATTGATTTGTTCATAAATCAGACTGTTTTAAAGCGCTGAGTCAATGATCCGGTCACATGGTTAACAGCTTGCATTCTGGTTGTCACACAAAGTTAAATGGCTTCAGAAGACTTGAAATACAGCTGTAAAGAAAACATTTATGATTTCTGGTACTATTCTGCACCATTGATTTGCTAGTAAAATGTGGCGAACGTTATTGCAGATTAGCAATAATCAGAAGACAATCAAACAGCAGTGGCAAAAGCATGTTTGATACATATGTAAGTAAAGTTGCAGAACTGGATTGAGTTCAGGGTTTGCATTTGTTGTGCATTTTGATGCAGTTGTGGAATACACAATATGTGGGCACCGCTGCTGAAATCAACCTCTCACTTATATTTATATATGTACATACAGTATATTTTGGATGTGTCATCCAAATGAACTTCCGAACCAAACACAGTATGCTGTTTTATTTCCTTACGAAGGACCTAAATGTATCAGGCTGTTTATTTGTAATCATACCTTTAGGTATGATCACATTAGCGAAATTTCAGCTGAATTTCTGGTCCATTGTCAATAGTGTAGCAATGTATGAAGCACTGCTCACACAGAAGTCACTTTCAAACCAAGCAGCTTTCTGCTGGTCAGTGCAATAAATTCATGTGACCAACTTAAATACAATCTGTGGGGATTTTTTTCTTTTACATGAAACCCCCGATTGTGCAGCTTCCTGTTGGAATGATTGGATTTCATCTGCAAAATGAAAGACTTAAAGACTTAATTGTCAGCAGCTCATTGGCTGTTGGTTTATTAAAGGGGTCATGACAGATTTTTTTAATTATTATTTTAATATATTCCTTGAGGTTTACTTATAATGTTAATATTGTTTTTTGCACAAAAAAACAAATAAATATGTGGAAAAATTATTATTTTCAACCCTCATTCTGAACCTCTCTCAGAAACAGGCTGCTTTTAAGGTGCGGGTCCTTTAAGGCTTCTCAGGAATCAGCCACTTTTATGACTTGCTAAAGTCATTGCATAGGAAACAGTATCAATGCCCCCTCACTATTGCATGTGAGTGTTTTGACAACATAATCAAAATAAAACGGTAATTTCCAGACAAAGCATTATTAAATCATCTACTTATGGTTGATGCAGCTGCAGTCAGGTATAGTACTGCTTCATCTTTCTACAAATGTTTCTTCTTGAACTCTCCATGACACTGTGCCTCATATACAAAACAAAATCCTCCAATCAATCCTCTGGCCCGATCCGGAAATTGCCATTAAAAATAAACTATTCACTTGTTCTTTATGCTGGGATCCTTCTGATATCTGTACAAAGACGCGAATGAGCTGTTTAAACCAAATGTGGCAAAGCAAGCGTTCTTTCACTTCATTTGTCCTATTGACAGACTCAAGCATGTGGACTGTGTCAAAAAGTGAACACGCATCTGTATACTGTATCCAGTGTAGACAAGATAGCGGCAGTGATTGTAATTTCTATTAACTTTTGACGCAACGTGACACTCGCATTCAGAGTGATCTTAAGCGTCAAGCCGTCAGTGGGCGGGGCCTATGGTGAGAAGATGACTATTCGTCAATGTGTTGCTCTGGAGGCGGTGTTTATGCAAACGACTGTGCCCAGCTGACGTCACCTTGTCCCTATGGATCCAAAACAAGCCGTTTTCTGAGGGTTATTACATAAATGCTTTTTTATTGATGATGAGGACATTTTACGTTATGAAACTTGCAGGATATATTCAGCATACAAACACCTCTTCTGTATCAAAAGATCAAGGGAAATTTGGTTTCTCAAGTCATGACCCCTTTAAATACTAAACCCATTGAATTTTGGTTTAGTGTTCAACGAATAGAAGAAATCTGTGCAAAACACTACCTGACAAAAAATGTTGTGTACAAAACATTTAGGATAGTTTTTAGTGCTTTTCTGCCTTTTTGAAGCTTGAAAGGTCTTGTCCCCATTCATTATAATTGCATGGAAAAAAACGTCTAGTGCATTAACATTTCTCTTTTTGTGTACTAGAAAGGAAATGGAGGTTGAATAAATGATGACAGAAATATTACTTTTTTGGTGAACTCTCCATTTAACCTCAAAACAGTTACAAATGCACGTCAGTAATAAGAACTCACCTCCTCCATTCTTCTGGCAAAGATAAGGGAAACGCCACACGTTACCCAGGCCCACTGAGAAGCCCACCTGGGCCAGGATGTACTGCAGCTTACTGTTCCAAGCAGGGCGCCCATCTTCTAGGTCAGGGGAGATGTCTGGTTTGCCTATGGGTGGAGGGCCCCCTCCTGCCATGTTCATGCTCATCTGACTGCTCTTGTAGTCCATGGGAGCCTCCAGCGCAAGGAGGTCGGCCACAGACTCCGTGACATGCTCATTACTGTGCTCGAGTTGAGTCACTTTACTGCTCTTGGGCATGGTTGTGCCGTGTCGTGGTGATCCTGACAATTAAAGGTGTGAAAGGAGAGCAGGTCACAAAAACTGCCCCTTTGGCTTGATACAGGTGTGGACAATAAAGGTTTGTGCTCCTGTGAAAAGAACATAAAAATGAAAACATGAGAAATCAGGCCACAAGAGATAAAAATATGATCAAGGGCCATTATACAGACCGAATCATCATCCAAAGACTCTACAATTTGAGATACATTTAAGATTTTTTTTTTCTGGTCAGTCTTGTCTTAGTTATTGAATTTTAAAACCCAAATATTATTCTGATTTATTCAAACTTAACATTGCTTTTGGTTTTTGGCTTTTGGACTACAGCATTAATTGCATGAGAAGCTAAGCAATCTGTTGTAATGGAAGCCAAGGCAAGCACTGGCAGGACAGATGGGAAGATTTTTCTGACCCTCCGCATAGTAGTTTTGAACAGCATAGGCCTACTGGTATTAACCATGGTACAATATTATCATTTTGCACATTTTACAATTACATTAATTAATGTAAAATATAGTAAAGCAGTACTGTTTTAAAATATTATTACAGTTTAAAATAACTCTTTTCTATATTTTAAAATGTATTTGTTATATTTATTCCTACTATGGCAAACTTAAATTTTCAGTCTCCAGTGTAACATTATTCTTCAGAAATCATTCAAATATGCTGTTTTGATTCAAGAAACATTTATAATTTTTATTATTATTATTATTATCATGTTGTATGTAACAAAGTTCGTAGTTCGGGAAGAAGGAGGCAGGAACCGGCGAACATTCAAACAAAACTTTAATAATAAAATAAACACAAAATAGTGCGACAGCCCCTCGCGGACGACTGTCGCACACAAACAGAACCAAAACACAAAATAAAATCCAGGCCTGGTCCTCTCTCGTCCAACACTGTCGTCACTCCTCCTTTTATCCTTCCGGAGCTCCTCCGTGGGACTCGAGACCGGTGAGTGGCGCAGGTGTCGCGAATTAGCATTTACTCCACTGGCCTCGCTCCGTTCCCACGGCTCTCGGCCCCGTCCCTCTCGTCACATTGTTATTATGTTGAAAACAGTTGTGCTGCATAATATTTTGTGGAACGTAATCCATTTATTCTTTGATGAATAGATTTTTTTTCCTTTGGTGAATATGAATTCCACAAGAACATCATTTATTTGAAATAGAAATATTTTATAACATTATAAATGTCTTTACTGTCATTTACTTATCTTTAAATACAGTATGCACATATATTTTGCTACATGTGTCATCCAAATGAACTTCTAAACTCAACGCTTACACAGTACTTTGTTCTTTAAAAAGTAACTAAATACATTAACTTTAAAATCTAACTTTAAAATTAGTCTTAAAAGGTGATTATCAGCAGCCCATTTGAAGTAATGTTAATTTTGTGTTCAAATAATGGATGAAATCCAATAATAGCATGTGCACTGTTTTTGTGACACTGTCAGTGATAGACCACCAAAGGACCATCACATGCTGAGTTTGAACTTTTGCACCCACTGTGAAATTTTGCACAGTGTTCAGGTCCAAAACAGCCTGTCTGGGCAGCAGGCCAGTCAGTTCTACGTCATTATTATGAAAGGGATTATGTTTCAGTAGGAAGCAAACTAGACCTGAAGAATGCTACTAACAGTGTGTCTCATTTTGCTGTGCATTAAAAACACTGGTGCTGATCACTCATAATGCAGTTAATGTGCTTGATCAGCTAATGCTGAGGAATTCAACAAACATACCCAAACCTAAACCCTCCCTGATGGTGATTTACTTTTTACTATTTAGTCCAAGAATATAAAACGTGGTGCCGATCAGAGCCTACCAACAGCATGGCTTCTCTTAGTAATAATGGTTTGTATAGCTAAATATCCTGTTCATTCAACTGCACGTTATAATGTGAAATGCACATATTTTATCTGACCGGGTTGCTAGGCAATAGAGCTTGATGAAATTCTCACATCTCTGCTTCCTGTGAACCCGAATGCTCTCTGTATCAGGACAGTAAGTGACAGCTCATCTATCCAGTGCTTGAGAGGATACATGAACCAAATTTAGTCGAATCCTTGAAAAACACATAATGGGTCACAAGAATCAGATTTCATTTGCAGCAAGCAATCTCTCTATATCAAAAAAGAGCACACACTGATATGATACAGGGATGATGGCAAGTGCATGTTGTGACTGCAACAAATGATTGTGAGGACAGCCACGTGTATGACTGCAATGTCAATCTCTCATCTTCTAGAAGAGTAGTACTACAATAATTGTACAGCAAAATTGTAAATATTGTACTACAATAATCCGTTAAATTAACATATAAAGAAGGTTTTGGCTCCTACAATGCCAAAACAGAATGTTAAGGAAAAAACAAACTGGTGGCAGAGATTATGAAAACTAGTAGCCTCTTATTTGGGTAGTTGACAAAAAAAGACATTTGGGAAATGAACATGTCCTTTGGTGTATTCCATCTAAAGCTATTTAAAACTGATGCTCATTCTTTTATTTATTATACCTTCCAAATAAATAAAAAAACAAGGTTGTTTAACATATGCATTGATTTTAAATGTATGTATAGGCATATATTTCAACCATGTTTTCAAATATTTCCATAATGACCAAAGTTGAATTTCAAGAGCATGAATATGAAAAGATAAAATCTGGGAAGCAAGAGATGCGTTTTTCCTGAATAGTGCTCTGTTGGCTGTTGAAGTTTATAACTCAAGCTGAACTAGACTATTATTATGATTTATTAAAACGTATCTTATGATTGCATTTGGTTTTTGGCTTTGCACTACAGCATTCATTTCATGAGAAGCTTATATAGGCCTATCTGTTGTAGTGGAAGCCACATTTTAGCAACCATCTAGTGTTGAACAGTAGGATTATGGCTACATTATTATAAATTTTACAATTACATTAATTCATTTAGTAAACGTTCTTATTAGGGCTGTCAGTTTAACGCGTTAACTTAATTAATTAGTTACAAAAAATAACGCGATTAAAATATTTTAACGCAGTTAACGCACTGGCCCCGCCCCCAGACCTGTACGTCATCTTACATGTCATACAGTTGACTGTTGACAAATATGATGCAGGGCAACAACGCCATAAATGCAGTTATGCCCTAAAATTCAAGATATTGGTGCAAAAAATAGTAGCACGACAAACTGCGTCAACTACCATTTACAGTTAGTCTTGATGCAAACTTCCATACTATAACATTTTTCACAATTTTACCTTTATTCACTTTTCAAACATAATTATTTTACTTCATACACAAATGAAAAAAGTAATGTAATTAAATAAATCACGTGCCAGTCTTCGTCAAGCTTTCATTTGGGAGTAACTCCTCGACAGCTCAAGCATCACCAGAGGATGCGCCTGACTGCAGTCACGGACAGTGATACCATTCATTCACGGATCTTTCAAGAATCAACGCTAATCGACACGCTTACTATAGTTTAAAAACACAAACACGTGGACCCAAAACACGTAATGATGTCATGTATGTAAAGGGGACCACGAGCCGCGCAGCATCCTCAAGGTCAAATATTTGTGTCAGGTTGACCTAAAACTGACGCGCCTCTGATGACATGAGAAACCTCGTAAATAATAAGCAACTGACCGGTAATTGCTGCCGTGAATTATCGACATGAACTGCGTGCAGCGTGATAAAACGCTTCATACATGACTTGAATACCAAATAAGTTGGCACAACGCAATCATCGATGAAAAATCTCTTGCGTCTTTTATCACGACGGGTAGGTTACTAAATGAAGCGAATCCAAGATCACTCACCTAACTGGATGTCTACGAGTGAGAATCTGATGCGAATGTGCTCGTGTAGGTCTCACGGAGTGATAACCTGAAGAATCAGTTTGATTCCTCGTTGAGGCACTTGATGTGCCGTTTCCGCGCTCACGACTGAACCTGTCCAGAAATGCGCAGAATGAGTGAGCGCGCCGCCTGACGCAAAGCCCACCGCGCACTATTGTGTATTCTCTATCAGCCCAAAATAGTAACTTTAGGGTCACGCTGACACATCCGTGGGCGTTGTCCGCGACAACACTTCTAACCAACCCACTCCTTGATTTGTCCGCCAGTGGTTAAAATTCAAAGCGCAACTTATTTCTCCTTACACGATTGGCAGAGAGCAAATTACTATAGGTGTACATGAGTCACGAACGCGCTCGTACGTCAGCAGACGCGTAATGTGCGCATCCCATCCCGTCCAAATTCTGATGAAATACCTTTTGGCGATTGCAAAGTCATTTCTTACCTACTACCTTTCAAATGCACAGTGCTGTCCATATCTGTCCAAAGCGGACAAGTTATGACTTATTTATTTCTAGATAAGGTTGTTTCCCACATTTTAATCAATAAACTCCATTATGAACCCTTCAAAGCAGTGAGAGATGACACTGGCTAAAATCTGGAGCTCTATTGATGCTTTTTCTTCTCCCAGAAAAGACAGTGTCTGCTATCAGAAAGGCTATTTCTTCGCACATGCGGATGCGTCTGATTGTGTCTAGCTCATTCTTCTTCCTGACATGAGGATTTATACTGGCCTTGGTTCTGGCTAGTCTGGCTCAATTGAGTTTCTTTTCAGTTTTGCTGCTTGAATTGAGATGGATACCGCAGATTGCTGATTAATGTCTTCAGCAGATGTTTTTTAAAGCCGTCCCATTAATCACACATCTGTATTACTGTAAAGATAAAGAGTGATTTAAAATGCATCAGTTTAATTGAATAGAAGACTTTTGCCTGAGATTTGTATCCTAATGAATTACAGATACCTAATGCAGTGATTCAACTAATCACAAATCAATGCAATACTCAGCTTTTACATCATGGAGGGACGTTCTTGCTCCGGGTTTTACAGAGACCAGTCTCTGAATGTTTAGTCCCCTGGGTGGGAGATCAGTGCCCAGACAGAGCTGATCATCTGCGGCTACTGTTTTGAGTCTGGAACAACAAACAGGTAACACATAAACCGGATATGTGTTTGTTTATTTGTGAGTGCGTGTTTGACTCACATCAGCAGATGTGGCCCAGAGAAGCGAATGCCTCACACCAAAGAGACTTTTTAGAGGCCGGATGAAACACCACATGTGTTTTCATAGTGCTAAATGACCACATTTTCGGCACTGATGAGAATTTTCCGGACAACTTTTATTGGCATATCTGTGAAATTGATAATTAAAAAGGACTGTGTGCTTATTGAGCGCTGAAAGCGTGATTAATGAATTTACTTTGAATATCATAAAAAAATCACTTTGTATCAGAAAGAACTGAAGCAAAATTACTATATACTTGTAACGAATTGGATATAAATGAACAAAGCTTGAAAGATTTGTGTTGTAGAAAATGTTTCAGTTGAGAATATTAAATATTTTGAAACATCTACTGTGATGTTTAATTAACTGATTGAAAATGTATTAGGAATTTGCTCCTGAATATATAGATATAGTCATGAACAATAAAAGCATTGAAAGCCAATTAGAATCCATCCAGTTTTAAATAGCTCAAGCATTTATAGTTAAATAGTTTTATAGTTTTTTTATAGTTACAGATTTTTTTTAGTTTATAGTTGTAGTTTTAAGTTATCTTTATAGATATTATTGGTGTGAACGGGCCTTAAAATCAATTAAAATCCCTAGAAAAGAATGGCCTGAATATTATATTGACCACAACATATCAGACTATTTCTGTTCTATTGAATACATTTTGTTTTGTGTGGATCCTGATAATTATGAAATGTATCTAAAACCTATTATTGAAAAAAGCTTTTGAAAATGTTCGGCAAATTTAAAGCAAGATTTACCATTTCAACCTTATGGTAGACAGACATCTCAACCTTACGAGTTTTATATCTTCAAGACAAATTCATACATTTCAAAATATGTTAGGGTTGAATGATAAAGGGTTAATAAACACTTCTGTGGAAATCTACAGATGGGCGTACATTCGGTGTGGGTCTTGTCATAACCCACGTGACTACCGTCAGATGTGTGCATCCTCACAATGAGGATTCGAGCATCTCCCTTTCCACAGATGTCTAAGACATTGGGATGCTGCATGCAGACGTGCACAAACACGGCTAAAAATAGGACTGAAGTATCCAGCAGTTCCCTCCCTGTGTTAAAGCCTGTAGCTCTGGGCACACTGGAGCATCCTCAGCCCTGCAGCGAGCGAGCGTGTGTGTGTGTGTGTGTGAATCACGAGGCTCTAGCTCTCTATGATGGAGCACAGAGAGCTCCTCACCTTTCTCATGTGACTCAACTCGCCAGGGCCCACTGCTGGGATCTGTTGCTATGGCAACAGCAGATCATATGATTCTGAGTCATTGGCTGCGTGTATGTGTGTGTACTTGGGATTATGTTGTGGTGGCATGAATGGGGCATGGTTGCACACGCATGTTAGATCATTGCAAAAGGGATGCCTGCCTGCTTGACATCTGAAATCACGTGTCTGTATTTTGGCAGTTCACGGGAAAGATTTGCTTTATTAAAGTCCCCGAGAATGATTAAAACAGAGTCCGGGTGTTGTTGTTCTGTCAACACCCATAAATAACTAGCATTACAAGCTACAATCCCTAATTGCTGAAAACACAGCATCTGAACATACAAGCAATGTTAATATGGAGGACTATGGAAATGTTGCATACACTGTACCTGCAGTTATATCAAATATGGGGTATTTTGTGGAAACTTTGTTACAGTGCAATTGTACATTTAAATACTTAGTAATATTATTTAACTACATTTACTTACTATGTGGTTAGGAATAGGGTTTGGTTTAGGGTTAGTTGTATGTAATTATGCGCAATTTATTGTTATTACTTTAGTAAGTACATATAACAGTACATATAACAAGGAAAAAAGTTTGACCCAAATATGAATACTTCTGAGTTTCTGCATCTAAAATCTTTTGGATCTGCATAGACCATAGTTGTTGTTAACTAAAACTACAACTATTAAAGATAATTTTTGTTAACTGAAATAAACTAAATAAATATTAAATAAAAATTAGAACCTAAACTGAAAAACTTAAAGTTATTAAGTATTTAAACGAAAACTTAAATGAAGTATTAGGACCTAAATTGAAAAACTTGGAACTAATTGAAACAAATTAAGTTTACATCGAAGTGCTAAAATATTAAAACTGAACTCAAAATAAAATATTAAATATTATTATGTTTGAAATTGTGCTAATTTTAATGGAAACTAAAACTATGAAACATGTTTTAACTGAAATAAAGCTAAAATTAAAAAACCTAAAATGAAAAAACAAAAAAAAATCATATGAGAACTAAAAATAAGTTAATTATTTAGTAAATTAAATAATTATAAGTTTTTCCTAGGCATCTAACTGAAACAAAATAAGCTGATGTTGAAGTGCTAAAACACTAAAACTAAACTGCAATAAAAATAAATGAGAGCTACTGTAAATAGAGATATTTAAAACAAAAAATTATAATAAAAATGGCAAAAGCACATGACAAAATTACTAAAACAAAAATTCAAATAAAATATAATTAAAATAAAGGCACATTCTAAATATTAGTGAACACTATAATAGTACTGTATATAAATTTTACAAAATAAAATATTAGCATAGACAGAATACATTTAGGTAAAGTAAGAGTATAACATCAGTAGAATCAGAGTTCCTCTGCCATTCTTAGCACACTGTGAGGCTGTTACAGTGGTCCCAGAGAGAGGCTTTAATTATTGAGAACCGCTGGCGTCACTATGACCTTGAGTGAAATGCATTTGTGTGGATGCTCTCCACTAGCGCACACATGCTAGCCTGATGCATTACGCCAGATTTCAACAGTGCAGAAAGCACCATTTGATTCTATAAAAACTAAAGGAGGAAAAGGAGGTATTTTTAAATTCTTTTAATGAGTCTTATAAAAACTGTCACTCAGACGTCCATGAACTCCACATCCAGCCTCGGAGTTGATAAGACTTCACACTGTGTTCACAGGCTCATTTGCACGCACAGGCTTCAGGAAACTGGCGGAGGGGATATTTATCACCGGCTTAATGGGGCATGCAGCAAGGCTTGAATTTACAACATGGCCGCACGGGGCATTTTATCTGGGGAAATTATGACACGGTGGGGATAGTAGAGAAAGAGAGCAAGTGCAGTTATCAAACAAAACTAGTAGGGTGTGCGCTATCAAATTGATCCTTAAGAAACTATTCACCCATGAATGAAAACACTTTTATTCACCCCCGTATTATTTTCTTTTCATAAGTAGATTCATACTAGGAAAGCATTAGGATTTGTCATTGGTAGCAGCAAATGGCATTGGTTTTTGTGTCACATGACTTACTTCGTGTGTACACTTACTTAGTGTGAAGAACATCTGAAAAATCTAAATAACTGATTTCCACTATAAAGAACAATTAATGGCCCTTGTAGAAGCGACCAGTACCTTTGGAAGCAAAGGAAAGGTCCCATAGATGTTAAAATGTTGCCATCAATGCTAATGTACTGATATATTCAACCATTAAATTACGGCAAGAAATTTCTAAAGAAAAGCCTCTAAACAAACTCCCACAACTGCAAAAGAAAGCTTCCAAATCTCTAGCCAAATACTCAGCGGTAAGAGTGCGATTTTGCATTGCTGCCAGTCTGTCGTGCATTTGTCAGCACCAGTGTGATCCAAAAAAGAGCTGTCCCTTTTTTGTCGCTGTGTCTGTGCTCACGTGCTTGACTTGTAAACATTACAAAGCATGGATGAATAATGCCTGGAAGAATAAGAAGAAAAGCTTATTACAGGCAAGAAACAGCGCATAATCTGGTATACTTGGTTATTTATTCAAAACACTCCATGTAATGGTATTCAGGATTGAACTACTCCCAGGAGTCAGATTTAATGGGCCATGGTGTCTTATCTCACTTTCTGTGCCTTTTAACTGCCTTCGACATGAACCGTATTTCCTCAAGCCTTGTTCCTGACAGAAGCTACCAGTACCTTTAGCACATTCTGTCAGAGACTCAGAGGCTTCGAAAGGTAATTGCCTGATTGTGTATGCACACCACATCCTTTTCTCCTGTAGTGAAGTCAGAC